GGGTCGAGGTGGAAGACGTCCGCGTCCAGGTGGGGGCCCAGATCAAATATCTGGGCCTCCACGTAGATGGAAGGTGGAGATTTGGGGAGCACCTCAATCGGCTGACGCCCAGGTTGGATAAGGCGGCGAGCGCCTTATCGCGCCTGATGCCCAACCTGGGCGGCCCGCGTGGGAAAATACGGAGGCTCTATGCAAACGTTATCAACTCGATGGCATTGTATGGAGCCCCGATATGGTCGACCGCCCTGACAAAGAATCGAAGGGCCATTGCGGTCTTAAACAAGACCCAAAGACGCATGGCAGTCAGGGCGGTCCGTGGATACAGGACCATTTCCCACGCGGCAGCCACACTGATGGCCGGGATGCCCCCGATAGCTATGAATGCCCGGGCACACGCTCGGGTGTACGAGCAAATAGCTGAGCAGAGGGCAAGGGGGATCCCGGTACCGCCGAGGGTGAGGAGGCTCCTCAGTCTCCGCATAAAGGAGGAGGTGAGGGAGGAGTGGCGAGCCTGGCTGGCCGAACCGGGCCGTGCGGGTAGGAGAACGGTTCAAGCCATCCTCCCTCACTTCGACGACTGGATAAACCGGTCGTGGACGCGGGCGTCATATAGGACGACGCAGGTACTCTCCGGGCACGGTTGCTTCGGGGAGTACCTGCATAGGATACAAAGGGAACCCGACCCAAGGTGCCACCATTGCACGGAGGAGAGAGACACGGCGCAGCACACGCTGGACAGCTGTCCAGCGTGGGCAGAAGAGCGCCGTGCTCTCATTGAGGAAGTAGGAGGGGACCTCTCGCTGCCGGCCGTAGTGAAGGCCGTGACGGAGAGGGAAGAAGCGTGGGAGGCCTTCGCTCTCTTTTGTGAGCGCGTCATAGCGCAGAAGGAGCAAGCGGAGAGAGAGAGAAGGGGAGAAGTTAACCTTCCCCCGGACCCTGGAGGGAATGGTGGCCGGCGGGGAGGGCAACGAAGGAGAGCCCCCCGAGGAATGCCGGCGCACCTAAGGAGGTGGTAGGAGTCACCTTCGTCAACACGAAGGTGACGAACATCGGAAGAAGAGGAGGCAGTCCGAGGCGAACGAGGAGCACGGACGAGGAGCACCACTGGTGCCGAACGAGGAAGAAGGGGGAGTTAAGGCGTCCAGGTCCCGCCGTAAGAATAGGCCTGGGGTATCTCCTGCCTCTCGTAAAAGGCGAGTAAAAGGAGCATCAAAGCCGGGAAGTCCTAAGGGACCCCTGGCGGGCGGGCTGGGGCTGGAGACCCCAACCCGTCCTCCCCCACA